TTTCAGTTCAATACCTTTTGGGTAGCAAAGGTGTTCAAACATGTTCAGTCATACAAACAGCATTACTAGTAAACTATAATAGGTATAGTTTAGGAAGTCACTACTTACTATTTCTGGAACAATGAAACATACAAGAGTCAGTTCATACATGAGTCAGTTCAAACATACTATAACGAGAAACAACACATACTATAATGAGATACAATACATACTATAACGAGACAGAGAGAACATACACTACACTAGAACATACTATACAAATACAAGAATACTATAACATTAATATCGGGGCTGACAGTTGAATAAACACATTTATTTTATTATAATTGTTAATTCAGACTTGTAATTAATATTTGATACACAAATTACAAAAAGTAATTTAAATACCTGGAGCATAAAACCTTTCCGAAGAATATGTTGAACACCATGCAAAGTAGAGGCCACAACATATGCACACCTGCAACAAAATTCAAAAATCCAAAAAGTCAAAATCGTTGACCAACCACATAATATGAAAAAAGGTCAATCATATTTTTTATAAATTTCGACGCACATTTCTAGTACCCATCCAAATTTTTTTATCAGTCTCAGGATCATCCTTCATTCTTAAAGAAACATTCGTCCATGTGGGAGCAATTTTTTCAAGAATATCCTGCACAAATGACATTTACATGTTCACTTTTACAAAAAGATCTTTCAAAGATGAAAATCATGGGGTATGAAAACACTTTTAGTTGTATTACCTTTCTTATAATAACACTAGAGTACTCCAGACAAATCTTATCAGGGACCAAATATATTTGCAAATGGACCTTAAACGTATTGAACAATGGGAATACAACCATGGAATAACTGAAAAAAAATAATAGAAACATACATTGGCACAAAAATCTCCCTTGATGTTTGACAAAGTGCAATCAGGCATTATGTCGAGCACCTGGTAGGCAGAAGAAACTGACATGGTGTTTTGATCAACATTACTGTCTCTAATAGAGTTCACCCTGAATTGTTTGTTGGTATCTGAAAAAAGAAACAATTTAAGTATTTGTTTTGCATTAAATCAAATGATTCGACTCCTAAGTCGTAAACATGAAACTAAATTAGGGCACAAGGTCGCCCGATTTGGACGTACCTGCGTTTGCCTCTAGTGAGAATTTATCTGAAATCCGTAGGGGTCATATCAATGGATCGTATATCCGAGTGTTGTGTGTGTATGTTGGGAGAATTTGAAGCTAGGAGTAGACGATGAAAACTTAACTCAGTGTACAAGAGCTTGAAAAATCTTAATCATTATCGATGTCACCAAATTGCAGTTAAGACTAGCGATGGTGAATGAATGCGACGATGACAGTGGACGAATGCCACGATAGTGTTGGAACAGGCGGTGATGACGCCGACACAGCAGGGACGATGGTTGCGATGGAGCAGGGCGATGGCGTGCTGAAGAGCTGAGTGTTCAAATCGTTTATTGGTAAGGATTTTAAAAGGTTGGAGGGGTAAAATGTAAAATAGAGAAAATGGGTAAAACCGTCTATTTGTATTTGTAAGGGGAGAAATAAGAAAATACCAAAATATCTTACTGTGATTAGCCATATATGAAATACGGATCAAATTAAATGATAATTTTGGAAAACGGACCAAAGTTGTAATTTTCTAAAATAGTGGGGACTAGTTTTGTAATTTACTTTTCTTATTATAACAGTTATATTTTTAAAGTATATAACAAAATATAACTTTTAATGGCATATTAAAACATTATGCCACTAATAGTTATAAATATTAGTGACATAAAATGTTAACTGCCACTAAGTTTATTAATTTTTATAGTGGCACATTCTATGTGCCACTAAAAACATGATATAGTGGCACATCAAATGTATGCCATTAAAAATGTATGTCACTAAATGACATTTTATTTGTAGTGACACTTTTGGTCTCATGAAGCAAAATCGAAAAGGAAAGTTCATGTTCCAAGGGAAATATCCATTGGTGAAATTCGGCCAATTCGCAGAAGTCAATGATGCGTCTGAGACTAAAAGCTCCTCAGCTCATGAAGAAACTAAAGATGAGGTGATTACTGCTTCAAAGCATGAAGATGAGCGTGTTCCTCCAGTTGCAATCATTGCTGAGGAACATGTACCAATGGTTAATGTAGAAGGGGATGATGATGATGAGGATGATGATGAAGAGGATATGGATCTTGGTGGTGATCTTTCTGGTTATAATAATGATGACTTATTCTTCGGTCTTGAGCAAAGTCATAATATAAGGCTAAGCAGTGAAGACCTCGATGCTTTCTTTGACAATGTCAATGATGTTGCACAAACTGCAACGGAGACATAGGGAGTTGATGATGTTCTCAAGACAACACCTCCAACTACTACTCAGATGGCCGACCTTTCAACTGATATGGATACAACTACAAGGATTCCTCCCCTTCCAGTTGCTATTCCAACATCCTTGCCATCTGAAAGTAATCTCATTGTGACACAAGCCTCCCAGCCTCCTCTGAAAAGAAGAAGAGCCGATCTGAGGCCGGGAGTGCTTATCAGGGAACAAGCACCACCAGTCCAACAACCCTCCACAGCTGCTACATCAACCCAACCGACCTTGGAAGAAAGTCAAGTTATGAAAGAAGGTCCAAGTGTTGTTCGATCTTCTCATGAAGTCGGGAGCTCTTCAGCTCCTGGGGGTTTTTCTCCACCACTACCTGCGCATGATGCTACCTCCGAGAGGCTTGCCAGGTATTTGGCCTAACAAGATTCAGAACCTTCACCCCGAGGCAAGGGAAAATCTATTGGTGAAGGAAGTTCAGGGGGAGCAGACCCATCGATTTCTGAGCTCAATGAGGAGATAGGTGTTGTAAATCAAAGGCTTATTGAAAAAGATGTTTTGATTGGAAATATCGACATTCGAGTTTCCGAGCTTGAGGAAGAAAATTTGCAAAAATCAAAACAAATCTCTGATCTACAGCTCAACCTTGGAGCCGTGACCGTTGGTTACTTCGACCTGAAGAACAAATTGATAGCAGAATTTGGCGACAAATTCAAAACAACTTTCGGAGAACCAAGTGCAGCCGAGACCTCTCAAATTGCCCCTGCCCAATCATCTCAGCATGATTCCCTTGTCAATCCTCCTACCATCAGAACCACTCGAGTTGTTGACCGCTTTGAAAATGAACCTGCTCAAGCTCATCCAAGAATTACTCTGAAGCAAGGTTCAAGGAAAGTATCTTCACAAAAGAAGGGGAAATGGCTCTTCAAGAAGAATTCAGACAAGAATATTCGTGGAGACCAACCTCAACTTACTGTGACAGAGCTCAAGAAGAAACGGTTCGGATCCAAGTATGGTGATCGGTCAGGAATCGTGATGTGGGGCTTTCATGACAAGCTGAATTTGTGGTTGGTAAAGCGGAAAAGTGGAAACGTAGAGTATTACAAGGACAAGCATGATTTTTGCTCTTGGACGAGGGTAGATCTGTCTAAACTTGCTGATGCTCCCTTCTCCAATCCAGCCGATGATCCCCACAGCACAGAATTCAAGCTTTTTCTAGATAATCAAGTAAAGAGAAAATTTTATGGTATGAAGACCGCCGAATCCTTCATAAAGAGCTTCAAAGATGTGTTGGACCCAAAGACCGACTTGCCCTTCAAGACCGTGATGTGGCCTCCTACTAACTAAATGAGACAGATTCCTATCGTTCAGAACTTTTGTGATGGATCAATAAGAAATATGCAATATTGGGTCTATGATGAAGCCACAACATCTGTTGTCATTAAATTCCCAGATGGTGTGTTTCGTTTGGTTGATAAGAAGGATCTGCTTCAATCTGGTGAATGGGACATACGCACTTTGGCTCAACATCAAATTCATGTCGCTGATGAAATTCTGGAGGTTGCGGCAAAGGAGTTCACGGGGATGATAGCGGAGATTATCGAGAAGAAGATGTGGCTCGGGATAATAGGGAGGTCAGACGTGCTGATAATCGAAAAAGACTGAGTCCATGCTAGCCTCAAACCAAGGGTGAGACTGTTAAGTCATATTTTATTGGTTTGGGCTAGGCATCAATCTGTATAGGTCTGAATAGGGTTTTGGTCATGTAAGGTTTGGGTGTGCGGTTGTGTGTTTGCGGCTGTATGGGTGTTCACGGCCGTGAACCTGTTTACGGTCGTGAACGTGTTCTCGGTCTTGGTCCCCTATATATAGGTGTCAGATGTACGGGTGTTGCATGTGTGTGTTATCCAAGTGTACCAGACGTTTACGGCCTAATAGACGTGTGGATTGTTGGATCATTTTCTACTTCTACTCCTTCTTGATTCTTATTGATTACAGCTTGATTGAGTGTTTGATCACTAGTTGGTTCCAGATTTGGGGACTTATAGATTACCTTATAAATTCGAAACAAACCCGCTTCTTATTGGTTAGCAAAAAATAGAAACCAAACCAACAATTTTAAAAATTATTAGGTTGTATCAGTTAATTCAATTTTAGTTTGTTTTTCGTATCATTATGATACGTATGATGTTCACCCATAAATTATAAGGTATTTTACATTCACCTCCTACGAGTTCCTTGAACCTGCTTTTGAAGATGGACTGGAAGGGGCTTATTAAGAAGTTTGGATTTGATGCTCAACCTTATTTATTCAACCATTTGGTCTATATGGAAATCTCGGAACGTTCTTATTTTTAAGAAAGTGAGAAGCTCCCAAATGAAGAATGCGGATGAGATACAACTTATTTTGTACAATTGGTTTAAAATTAGTGTCAATCTTAGTATGTTAAATTGAAATACTTGACGTTGTTATCCAATTTCAGTTTTTATAAATACATTGTAATCTTCTCTAGCACTTTGCTAAATGTTCAAAAAAACAACAAAATAAAAACTAAACATGTAGAGAGACAAAAAGTGGAGGGACTAAACTTATAGTTTCGTCTAACACCCACCATTTAACCATGCAAATCATTAAAATCACGCTATAAATATTAAATACCATTGGAGGCATAAATATGCTCCTTCTCTCTGCTTCTCGGCGTGTTTGTTCTCGGAGACGGTGGCGGAGTATCAGATGATTACGATACCCCTACAATGGAGAAAATGGACGGTATTAGTGGCGACAATATGGATAATGGCGTTTACGGGTACTAATTTCGACTTCCCTTCTTATTCAACCCAATTGAAATCCGTACTGGAAATCACTCAGGTGGAGCTCAATTACTTGTCAATGGCTTCCGATTTTGGTAAGTTGTTCGGATGGTGCTCGGGGGTGTTGTTATTATATCTTCCGACATGGGTTGTCCTGTTCGTGGCTGCTTTCCTTGGTTTGTTTGGTTATGGTCTTCAATGGCTTCTGATTCAGAGACTCATCTCTTTGCCTTATCTCACGGTTAGTAATTTGATTTGATTTCATTTCTTAATGTGTTTAGTCTTGCATCCCTATTTAATTTTAGGGTTATTTGTTACTTTAATAATGAAGATTGAATTTGGAAAAGATTATGGGAGATTATATCAGGATTTGTACAATCTACACAATTCTAGTATTGCTGATTTGTTGACGAATCAACTTTGACCATTGGTAAATGAAGTCAAAACTGAATGTTAATTTTGTGTTCTCTTTGCATATTACATTACGCATGTTTTTTATTCGGAGTTATCTTGAAATGAACTATATAAAATCAAGAAAATGAAAATGGAACGTAAAATATTAAGTAAGAACTTGTGAAGAAGTTAGGATTTGACTGAGAGATGCTCATTTCGCATTTCTCTAAGTCTTCTTTCTGCATTTTCTAAGTTCAAAAAAACATTTAATATTTAGTTTTTGGCTTTACATCGAAGTAATTGATTATATTATTGAATTTGGTTTATATAACTTGTGTGGCAAAGCAACCAAACTTGTTTGGTAGTTTGGTGAATTGTAGGTGAACAATTGTCCCTTTGTTCGAAGGTAACCGTAATTTATATTGAAATATGAAAAATTATATTTAGTGTGTGTAGAATACGAACGATCCAATTCAAACCGATCAATCTAATTTAAACACATAGACATACATTGAATATCCTACTATAATTGGATTGGATCGGTTCGAAATATCAATATCCAAATTGGAGTGGTCGATTCTTGGATGACAATCCAGATCCAATTCAAAACCGAACCGAACCGATCCAATCCAATTTGATATTTAGTTTGATATATCCAATTATAATCAAATTAGTATACAATTTCAATTATTAATATAGAAAGTTTGATTATTTATAAACTAGGTGTGAGACCCGTATATTATACAGGTTAATTTAAAAAAAAAAAGATTAAACATTAAAATGTATGCAATAAATATTTTTTAATGTAAAACTTTAAAATAAGAAAGGAAGAAACATATTCATTTCAATTTAATTTCATATATATTATATTTAATACTTTGCATATATAAGCATATGACTTTAATTTTAAAATTTAAAACAAATCAGAAATTGACAAGTGGATAATATTTATTTCAAAAATATCACAAAATGACAAGTGTCAAAATTAATGAAAGATTGACAAGCGGCAAAATTATTTTCATTTATTAGGAAGGATTTGATGAAATTTATATGGAACAAATTAGATATATTGGATATCCAACATTAATTATTCGACAAATAAAACCGATCTGGTCCAATTTCCAGTTGAATTGGATCGGTTGGTCGTTGCGAATCAGTTGTATAAAAAATGGCCAAATATGATATTGAACATTAATTAAAAATACATAATTGTTTTAAATTTTAATCATAGACTTTGTAACCATATTTATTATACTATTTATTACCGAAATTTCTAAAAAAATTGGTGATGAGTCAGCACAACACAACCGTTAACAATAATCTTTTATGACATTATCCAACAGGTATTTGGTTTGTGTTTGTCCGCGGGTTGTAGTATCACATGGTTCAACACTATCTCTTTTGTTTTGTGCATAAAAAACTTTCCTAACAACTGGCCACTCGCAGTATCTCTCACTGTTAGTTTCAACGGTCTAACCGCATCTCTCTACAACCTCATCGTTACAAAAACAACCTCACACAATACCAACTCCCCCTACCTTATTCTAAACGCATTTCTCCCTTTTGTCACATCCATTTTAGCACTACTCCCGCTCATCCAACAAAAAGAACTAAAAATAGACGAAAAAAATGACATGTATACATTCACATTTCTATATACAATAGCCGCCCTTATGGGGCTATATCTTTTCGTTTTAGATACTCCATCACAAAATATATTCGTGGTAGCAATATTGTTATTGCTTCCATTGGTCTCACCAAAAATGATGCAACTAGCTGTCCGATATCATATAATCGGAGCATTTGGTGTTTACCCTAGTGAAGGACCGAGTTACAATTTGGTTGAAATTAATAACTATGAAGAACTTTATGAAGAGAATTCGGAAGTGAAACCATGTGGTGATTCGGTTTTTGGGAAGATGATGGAGAAAGATCGGATAATGGTGCTTGGTGAAGAACATAGTGCTAAGTTGTTGGTCGCTAGATTCGATTTTTGGCTTTACTATGTCGCGTATTTTTGTGGGGGCACAATTGGGCTTGTTTATAGTAATAATTTAGGGCAAATTGCTCAATCATTTGGGTATGTTTATGAGACGGAAGCACTTGTTAGGATCTATTCTACATGTTCGTTTTTTGGTAGGCTTGTTTCGGCTGTTCCGGACTTGGTTTGTTGCTTTTACCCGTCAGAGACATATACAAGTAAGTCACAAAGTGTGTTTTTAGTAGATTATTCTTTTAATTAATGGACTTAACTAAGATAGACTTAATGTAGCAAGTTGTATATAAGCATTTCTTTTTAACTTAATGCAAAAAACGACTTATTAGAGAAAATTATGAAAATGAAGTCTTCTTCAAATAAGTTTTTATATATTTGTCATTATTACTTGTTGGGTTAAATGCAATAAATAATAATGTATTTTTCCAGACTTATTCATTATAACATCTTGATTTCGTTTTATTTGAAAAAACTACTAAAGCATACCAATGATAAGAAAAAAAAAAACAAATGGTCTAACAATTATGATAGAAATAAATGAAAGTATGATGTGATAGACACAAACAAAAGTATATTAATGTTTCTTGCATTCAAACATTTTAATTTTTTCTTGTATTTCTCCAAACATCTCATCATTTTTTTTCAAATATTTTTGAACCTCATTAATATTAACAACTTGATATATTTATTTTTAAATTTATCATGTAATGCAGAAAGCTCTACTACTAGGACCGGGTGGCTCACGCTTTCTCTGGTACCAATGCCCATTGCTTTCCTTGTGTTGATATTCATAGGCACCGAGAGTGGTTTGAGTGTGGCCACTGGATTAATAGGAGTCTCCTCCGGGTTCATATTTTCAGCTGCGGTATCAATCACTTCTGAGCTGTTTGGCTCCAAAAGCTCGGGGATCAATCATAACATCCTCATAACAAACATTCCATTGGGATCGCTTCTCTATGGTGTTCTTGGAGGTGTTGTTTATGACAAAAATATAGAAAGCTCGGGATCAAATATATGCATGGGTCAAAAATGCTATAACGAGACATTCATTTGGTGGGGTTGCTTTTGTGTGTTAGGTTTAGCTTCAAGTTTCTTGCTTTTCTTGAGAACAAAACTAGCTTATCGAGAAGAAACCGTATCTAGAAGGAAACAAATTCTACTTAATGATATCCCAACATGATTGTTTTAGCATTAAGAAAGCTTTCTAATGTTATTTTTAATGATAAGGATAAGAAGAGTATTCATGTTTTTTTCATAATGGAAAAGAAAATTGTAACTTGTCCTATTAAACATTAGTCTACATTAGTCTCGATAGTCATATCAGTCCAATATATGTTGTTTTGGGGGTAACATGTTTTGGCTGTCAAGGGCCCTAACACAACATATTATAACAAGTATAGAATCAAAACTTCAGTTACAACAGAAAGAAACACTATTGCCACTTTTTCCATGTTTCAAAATTTGTATACAATTAAACCCTAGATAACATTTTACCCCCAAAACAACATAATCATATTAAATTAACAAAGAAAAATGAATATCAAACAAAACCCGTACACATCATAAAAAAGGAAAAAAAAATGCAATTCAAGCTGATGCGGGGACCTTATTTTGCACAGCGTATTTCCCAAACCTTCTTGAAATAGCAACATCCGATAATGTGTCCCATAACTGCAATTCGCAAAGAATGAGGGACTTAAAATGACAAGTATTGAAATTTCAGGGGGTTAAAGGTAACAATGCTTACCTCCAAATTTCCTTTAGAGCCACCAAGAGCAAGCAAAAAGGGACAATCTTGTGAGAAAGATAATGAAAAGATAGCTCCCTAACAAAACCCAAACAAAAACACAATCAGAATTTCATTAATACATTTCTTTACCCACAATAGCAATGTACTTATGGATAAAGATAAAGTAATATTGTAAAGATATGTGAGTATGTTGCTATTATGGGTAAAAAAAAGGAGTTCACAATTTACATTATTGTCCCCAAAAGGTCAAAATACATACCGCTTTGCGATTCTGTGAGGCAATACATGAAGGTTGGTTGTTTGATAGATCCCATAGTTTGACCTGTTATTGCAAAAAGACAAAAAAAAAATTGGATTAAGATTATTCGAAGTAGATGATATAATATAAACAAAATCAATGAAACTACTCTAATAATTCATATGCATCAGTTATAAAATTACCATTTTGTCTTGAGAACCGGTTGCAAGAAGCTGGAAAAAGAGTATAAACATAGGTCAATCAATATAACATTCAAAATTTCAAGTGTAATTAAATGATAAAACAAAATTTAAAAAAAAAAAAAAAAAAAAAAGGTAAGAGATATTATTACATTTGGTGCAATGGGGTTATAAGAAATAGCACAAACAGCTTTATCGTGTGCATGAAGTGTAAAATTTGGCTTCAACTCAGCTGATGGATTAGATGTTGCTGTTCTGATATCAAATCCAACCACTGTACCATCCTCCAAACTCACCTGAAAAAAGGGTATTTTAGTAATTTTAACTAGGAGGAAATAACGGGACAGGAATAGAATTGGATTGTCAAATCCCATGGAATCATAATACTAACCACAAAGGAGTGTTGCTCATGTGGGTCCCACGCCAAACTTTCAACATCAGCACTAACAGACCATTTAAACCCTAAATGTGTAGGAACCCTTCCATCCCTCTACAATATAACAAGAATCATATCAACCAATAAAATCACAATAAAGATTTATAAACAATAACTACATCTAAAAAACTTAGATTCTACAAGATAATTACCATGACTACTGTATGATCAAAGGATCCACTAAGAAGAACTTCATGCTCATGATGATTCCATGCAACTGCTTGAACCTGAACAAAAATACATATTTATATATAAAAAGAAAAAAACTGAGTCTCAATTTTGTCTACAATAAAGTTTTGAGCTTTTTTTTCAATAAGAAGATAAATAAAGCTTGCCTTATCTGTATGATGATCCATGGTAAGTTTGCATTTTCCAGTAGCCACATCCCAAATCTTCACTAACTTATCAGCACTTGCACTAGCAAGTATATTCCTGTGTATGAAAGTGACAAATGGCTTTGATGATGACATCATAATTGAGTAATATAATAATCATAAATGATGTAATAAAAAATTAATGACTAACATACCTATACCCCTTGTTCCAAGAAAGACCAAGAACAGCATCAGTGTGACTGTCTTCTTTGTACTTGATGGATTTCTAGGTGGAAGAAAATGAAAAATGAAAAACAAAAAAAAAAGAAAAAAGAAAATGAAATATAATTGAAGAATGAGGATGACAAGAAACATATGGTGAATGATTGGATACCTCGGCTTTCTTTCCTTTCTTTTTCTTCTTCTTTTTCTCAGCAACACCACCTAATATGAGAGATGGTTGCACTTCATCCATCTGAAGACAAAGGGTAAACTTGTCATAAAATCTGATGTATTGAAACAAAATTGAAAATTGATGAGAGAAATAAAATCAACTTACAATATCAAGATCCCATATTTCAATTGCAGGTTCCATCGAGCCCACAGCTATGAAATTTCCTGCCACCATACAATATCAATGAGATATAAGTAACTTCGATTTTGGTCCAGAAGTTTCCTTTATTTTGACTTTGTCAAAGGGCATTTTAGACATTGATCAAGAGTCGGACATTTGAATTGAACTATGTGCCAAGTAAACCGTTGCAAAACTACATGAATATTACCTTTTTCTCCACCTTTAATTGGGCAATCAAGCCATGCTGTGCATAAAGGAAATGCAGGGATAAGAATATCATGGTGAACATACATGTTTGAATCACCCTCTGGATCCTCTACTATCCAAACCTGTTAAAGCACACAAATTAGCACATCAAAATGTAAAGAAAACAAAAAAAAAGGGCTATATGCTATTATAAATTGCATGCCTCTAGATGACTCATATCATCCTCATTTCGTGCACAAACTACAACAGCATCATCGGCTTTGATAATCACATCTTCAAGCTCTTCAGAGTCCTCATCATCCTAAAGAGTAAAAATTCAAGATTCTTAAAGCTGCAATTTTTGGAAATCAAAGAGAAAATGGGAGTTTGAATATGGAATTATGCAACTTACATCTTTATCCTTGATATAAGGGTCTAATTCATTGCTTGGATAGAACGTGTCCCCAAGCCCCGAACCAAATATGTCAATGGCTGAACAGTAAAAATCCATGAGTGTTTGGGTAAAAATGATTATGATTTTCTGATTGTTTAGAGTCATAGCAATCATTTTGAAAACAGACATCAAAACACCCTGAGAAAAAATAGAATATGGAATGAAAGAAGGCGATTGAACGATGAAATACCATCATCTTCATCATCATAATCATCCATGTTTAGTTCATCTAAACCATCTGCTATGTCACGGAGGTCAGATCCACCAGCTTTCCTTGTAGAAGCCTTACCAAGTGCATTAGCTGCACCTAACGCCTGCTCGATTTCAGCAGGCTGTTTGGATGCATCAACACTCATATCTTCATCATCTTCCTCGCTTTCAACATCCACACTGCAGGCACAAAAAGGGCGTACACAAACTACGAGTTAGAATAAAATTAGTAATTTAATTCATTCCAGAAGTGTAGATTCGAATTAGCGATGTAACTTAAAACCCCCCAAGACCATACCCTTGTTCCACGAGAACTGTCTTCTTTATCTCCTCGATTTCCTCTTTTGAAGGAGGATCAGCTGCAGAAGGGACAGCTTTCGAAGATCCTTTAGGAACCCATGATATTGCTGAAATCATTCTTCACAATCGTTATCTGCAAACACAAGGTAAATCATTTTTTATGAATTTCATCATTGAAAGAGCTCGTATTTATTGGGACGAAGAGAGTATGACATGTTCATATCAAACATCACCACAAGACATCCAACTCTTACCTTGACGTCGCCGGCGGTGTCGGGGTTTCAACGACGGGTGAGTCTGGATGATAGTCGGCCAGGGTTTTGGTGACTTAAGCGAGGGTTTTGTTCAAAGTAAACCTATGGTGAAATACGAAACAGGAAATAGGAGGGGCTTGATCAATGATAAATAAAGACAAAATATAACTTGAAGGGGTATTTTGAAAGAACCCAAATAACAATGGGCAAAGTTGCTGCTAGGAAAAAGATGAAGGGTTGAATCGGAACCCCACAATCAGCAATGTCAATGATCAAAGTTTTATGGTCACGACGAATTATAATAAGATGTTAATTAGTATGATAATTTTTGTATATAATTAATAATTTTATATATATATATATATATATATATATATATATATATATATATATAACGAATTATAAGATGTTAATTAGGATGATAATTTTGTATATAATTAATAATTATATATATACCTTAATAAACATTTAACCTCAAATGCTGAATTTTAAGAGGTACAAAATCAAATGTATGTTGTACAATGAATTTATGCATTGAATCTTATTTAGTCAAACGATTGAATACATAGTCTCAGTTATATCCCTTAAAAATCTCCACCTAACTAACTAACGTGAATGAAACTAAATCAGTCAAAATGAAGACTTATTTCCAATCTGTTCCTTGAAATAGGGGATTTGAGTCATTTTCTCTTTGTTTCTCTTCTGTTTATAAAGAAACGTTGCCACCACCAACAGAAACAATTCCAATAAATAGAGAATCGTTGCTGCATACACGATGTTATTCTGTTTTAGATGTGCCATGGATGTTCTCTGTCGATCTCTCTCCTCTGTTTCTCTTCTTAAAATCACTACCGCCTCCTTCTCTTCCCCACCGCCGGATCCCTATAAACTATCTCCTTTATCGGCGACTTTTGGATCATATTGGTGGGGATATAGGGGGGATTTGATCAAGCATATAAGATTGTGTTATTTCACCGCCATTAGTGTAACATCCAAAAATTTCACGTCAAATTTAAACTTTTTCAATCACAAATAAAAACCAGATAGTACTTGTTTACAAAAATATTTTCAATCATTATTCATCAGAGTGTCCCAATAACCAGATCATAAGGATGAGGAGCGGTACGGTCACGCCTTCGTCTTGCCATGACCTCCTGAAGTACCTGAAACAATAAACTAAAAACTGTAAGTCCAAGGGCTTAGTGAGCTACCCCCTAAAATACCAATACCCCACCGATAATACCATATCAATAACAGATAAACAACAACATGCATACTGGGCCTTCGGCCTGACTGGACCACCCTGCAGGGCCTACAGTCTATCTGAATCTGTCCCTAGCCTTCGGCATAACTGGACCGCCACGTGGGCCTACAGTCTCCCCAGACCGCTCATAGGGTGTGTTGGCCTTCAGCACAAAGCATGACCGCCTCAACCCAAGCAACAAGCAAATAACCATGTGTGCATAACTAACATATACTGGCATATACAAACATCAAACATATCTATCTCACTGATCACCAATCATAGCAATCTCTCATAACTAGAGCACTGACCAAGCAGGTCACTAACACATCAATCCCTACGGATCATAAGAGCATAACATACTGTCTATCCTGATTCCGATCTAACAGATCATAACCACATGTAGCATACCATAACAATAACAACTAAAGGGCCGGCCTTGGTGCCTTAGACCCTATCGATATAGTAAGGATAACTCACCTTGCAGATGTCGACTCGGTAGATAAACTCCAACTCTCGGATCACTTGCCAAGGACTCCACCACCTATTACCATAATACGAATATACCCATAAGTCCTCAACCTTACATGGTACTCCATGAACCAACTAGTCGACCCCTGGTCAAAGTCAAAGTCATTAGTCAAGGTCAACAGTCCATGTTGACCCTAACTCGTCGAGTACCCTCGGCTACTCGCCGAGTTCCTTGAAGTACTTGCCCACTCGCCGCGTCACCGGAGTGACTCGTCGAGTTCCTTTGGTTTATGATCGAAACCCTAAGGCCACTCGTCGAGTTTCCTTCTTGCAACTCGACGGTTACACACGTGTACATAAATTGGGGAAACCTCAACCGACTCGCCGAGTTGTTCATCCAACTCGTCGAGTCTACAGCAATCTTCATCGGACTCGCCGAGTTGTTCATCCAACTCGTCGGGTCCAAGCTCATCTTTATATTAAATCAATACCTGAAAATCGAGGCGTTACAATTCTCCCCCACTTGAACTAGACTTCGTCCTCGAAGTCTGCCGCGGTGAACAGTTCTGGGTAATGCTCCCGCATCTCTACCTCTGGCTCCCACGTCCACTCGGACCCCCTACGATGCTCCCACTGTACCTTCACTAAAGGTATCTCCTTGTTCCTCAGAATCTTCATCTTTCTCTCTAGTATGGCCACAGGCCTCTCCACGTAATTCAGGCGCTCATCGACCTGAATATCATCCAGCGACACCATCGCCTCCTGATCCATTATGCACTTTCGCAGCTGCGAAACGTGGAAAGTGCTGTGGATTCGACTAAGCTCTTCTGGGAGCTCTAACCTGTAAGCCACCTTGCCAACCCTGACAATGATCCTGAACGGCCCAATATATCGGGGACCTAATTTTCCACTCATCCTGAAGCGGATCACACCCTTCCAGGGCGAGACCTTCAGGAGTACCATGTCACCGACCTGAAACTCTAGCTTGGATTGGCGTCGGTCGGCGTAACTCTTCTGCCGACTCTGAGCGGTCTGCAGCCGCTGCCTAATCTGCAGAATCTTCTCGGTAGTCTGCAAGACCACCTCCGTCCGACCCATCACTTTGTGACCAACCTCACCCCAACAAACCGGGGTGCGACATCTCCGCCCGTACAACAGCTCGAATGGCAGGGCGCCAACGCTGGAATGATCGCTGTTGTTGTAGGCGAACTCTGCAAGCGGTAGGTGGGAATCCCAGCTCCCACCAAAATCAATGATACACGCCCTCAACATATCCTCGAGGGTCTGAATGGTCCGTTCACTCTGACCATCAGTCTGCGGATGGAATGTTGTGCTAAAGTGCAACCGCGTGCCCAGTTCCTCGTGGAACTTTTGCCAGAAACGGGAGGTAAATCTAACATCCCGGTCGGAGACAATGGAGACCGGAACCCCATGGCGAGCCACGATCTCGCGGACGTACACGTCGGCCAACTTCTCGGCCGATGAACTCTCCCGTATGGCCAAGAAATGGGCACTCTTGGTCAATCGATCCACGATGACCCAAATGGCATCAAACCCCTTCGCCGTCCTCGGCAGCTTGGTGATAAAGTCCATCGTGATCTGTTCCCATTTCCACATGGGAATCTCCAGGGGCTGCAGTTTGCCATGCGGCCTCTGATGCTCAGCCTTGACCATCCTACAGGTCAAACACCTCTCGACGTACCAAGCGATCTCGCGCTTCATGCACGGCCACCAATAGCTCAAACTCAAATTCCGGTACATCTTGGTGGCCCCCGGGTGAATAGAGAAGTGAGACTTATGAGCCTCCTCCATAACCGTCTGCCTAACCCCACCAGACATCGGAACCCAAACTCGACCACATCGGGTCAATAATCCCCGACTATCTTGCTCAAACCGGGTATTCTCACCCTTGATCCTTTCCAGCTTCTAATTCTCCGGTCGCATGCCCTCAACCTGGGCATCTCTGATCAGACTCACAAGCGGAGAGTCCACTGCTATCCTCATACATACCGCTGGGGTGGAAGACCCAGCTGATTTGCGGCTCAAAGCATCTGCAACCACATTCGCTTTACCAGGGTGGTAAAGGATCTCGCAATCGTAGTCCTTGACTACATCCAACTACCTGTGCTACCTCATGTTCAGGTTCGGCTGATCCATGATATGTCTCAAGCTCTTGTGATCCGTGTATATGGTACAACGGACCCCATATAGGTAATGTCTCCATATCTTGAGGGCGAAAACCACCGCCCCCAACTCCAGATCATGAGTAGGATACCTCGTCTCATGCGACTTCAACTACCGCGATGCATAAGCTATCACTCGTCCCCTCTGCACGAGGACTGCCCCTAGTCCCGTGATGGACGCATCACAGAACACCATAAAATCCTCGACTCCTTCCGGAAGAGTCAAAACTGGGGCCTCGCACAATCGCTGTCGGAGGGTCTCAAACGCCCTTTGCTGCTCAGGGCCCCACCGGAAATCCACCCCTTCCTCGTCAGACGAGTGAGGGGTACTGCAATTTTGGAGAAATCCTGTATGAATCTCCGATAGTACCCGGCTAATCCCAAAAAGCTCCTGATGTCCGAGGGAGATTTCGGAACCTCCCACTGCATAACTGCTTCGATTTTGGCCGGGTCGACCAAAATCCCCTCCTGGTTAACGAGGTGCCCAAGGAACTGGACCTCTCGCAACCAAAACTCACACTTCGAGAACTTGGCATAAAGCCGTTCTCGCCTCAAAACTCCCAATAGCTCCCTGAGGTGCTCCTCGTGCTGCTCTCGGGTCTTGGAATACACCAAGATATCATCTATGAACATAATGACCGAGCGATCAAGCATCGGTCTGTAGACCCGATTCATCAGATCCATGAACACTGCCGGCGCGTTGGTGAGCCCAAACGGCATCACCACGAACTCGTAATGACCATAACGAGTCTGAAATGCGGTCTTCTCCATGTCTTCCTCTCTCACCCTGACCTGGTGATATCCGGATCTCAAATCGATCTTGGAAAACTAAGATGCACCCTGCAACTGATCAAAAAGATCATCTATCCTCGGGAGTGGATAACGGTTTTTCACCGTTAACTTGTTCAACTCCCTATAATCAATGCACATCCGGTGCGAACCGTCCTTCTTTCTAAAAAAAAGGATCGGTGCTCCCCATGGAGAACTGCTCGGACGAATAAACTGCTTACCCAGCAGCTCCTGCAGCTGAGATGACAACTCCTGCATCTCTGGCGGTGCCAAACGGTACGACGCTCTAGCGATAGGGGCCGCACCCGACACCAGATCAATCTTGAACTCCACCTGCCTCTCCGGAGGCACTCCAGGTAACTCCTCTGGAAACACGTCAGCAAACTCTCTAACCACCGGGACCTCTGAAACTGAAGTCTGGTCCCTGAACCGCGTGTCCACCACACACGCTAA